GTCACTATTCGGCATCTAACCCCCTTGTTTCTTGTTGGTACAGGGAATTTCTTCATAAATTCTGGCGTCAATCAAGGGATCCTACCCCGCAGCAGGTAGATACCCTTCTTAGACAGGGTGCGGGAAATGGAATGCCCAATTTCATTTCTTGGTTCAAACAGAAGGTACCATCCAATTTAGCTCGTACTTAGTTTGACATTCCAAGTTACTCGTACGTGCGAATAATATAACGATGTATCCTGCTTGAGCTTGCAGGGCTAGAGGGATGCGTCTATGCGTGTCGAGTTGAAACAGGTTGCCGATGGCTTTGCTTATAGGGTCAGGTCATTTTTCGGTTATGACGTGAATGGATATCGCTTTCGCACAACAAGCTATGAGCAGAGTCGGCCCAATCGAAGAACCTCAAGTTCCGGAGTTTTTACGCCCGGCGTTGATGAGGTCGAGTATTATGGAAGAATTGAAGAAATATACGAACTCAAGTTTTATGGTTCCAAACCTTTTAATCCCGTCATATTCAAATGCCATTGGTTTGATCCTGAAGTAACGAGATGGACATATTCTAATCTTGGGCTAGTCAAAATTCGACAGGATTCTGTCTTACCAGGAGACGATGTCTATATTGTGGCCCAACAGGCCACGCAAGTTTATTATCTCCCATATGTGTGTCAAACCAAAAGTCATCTTAAGGGTTGGGATATTGTGCACAGGGTATCGCCACACGGTAAAGTGCCTGTCTCAAACGATGAAGATTACAACTTAGACCCAAACACATATGACAGAGAGTTCTTTCAAGAAGAGGGACTAGAAGGGAGGTTTGAGATAGACTTAACCAAAGTGATCGGAATGGAAGTAGACAATGAAACGGTTATTGAAGAGGACGCTGGAGATGAGGTGCAAAATATGAAGGACTTACAAATGCTTGAGCGATTACATTTAGACAATGACAATGGCAACATTGCTCATTCGGATAGTGTTGATTATTTCGACATGATTGATAGTGATGATGAGACTTATGATCCAGCTAATCTCGATCATGAAGATTATTTCTAATACATGTAATACTATGTTATTTTGTAATTACGTTTTGTTTATTTTGCATCTCTTTCTAAGTACTTCTTGTTTATCTGTGCATATTGGTTTACTCTTTTTAATTGTAGGTGATTGAACAAAGATGGTGGGTGGTGGGATGAGGAAGCTAGGTGATGATACTTGTGGTTGTTAATGGTACTTCTATTTGCAATTGTGGTTGTAGATGATGGAGCACTTGGATTACTTGTTAACTTATTTGTGATATATTGTGAGACATGTGACGTTTGTGATATATATGTGGTGTTGGATATCTGTGCTGTTGATGATATATATGTGATGTTGGTGATGTTTGTTATATATATCTTCTGTTTATTTGGATGGAATATAAAAAACAAATAAAAAGACTGTTCTCAGTCACTTTGCCGAGTGCAATGGCCATGACACTCGGCAAAGTGACGACCTGGGAACATGCTTTGCCGAGTGCACAGGCCATTGCACTCGGCAAACATCACAGGTTTGCCGAGTGCCACGGGCCAGGCACTCGGCAAAGGTGGCCTATTTGCCGAGTGTTTGAGTCAACGGCGCTCGGCAAAGAGGCGACCTTTGCCGAGTGCTTGACCTTGACACTCGGCAAAGCTGCCGTCACGGTGGCGCTCGCCGTCACGGCGACTTTTCTTTGCCGAGTGTCAGATTAGCACTCGGCAAAGGCTTTGCTGAGTGTCCGATAAAGTGCACTCGGCAAAGAGGTCTTTGCCAATCAATTGTTTTACCGAATGCTCTTTGCCGAGTGTAACACTCGGCAAAGGATTTGCCGAGTGTATATCGGCCTTTGCCGAGTGCCTGAGGCACTCAGCAAAGAAGCCGCCTCCGGTAGTGACTCGTACTAGATTTATTGTAGAACTAATAATAAACATGCTCATATGTTGCACCGAAATATATATTTTGTTGCGTGACACTCATGTCGATTGTTATAAACTAGTTTATTTTGTTAGATTTAATTAAGCTTGGAGACACCTTAATAATTAAATCAAATATACGATGCTGCCTCAAAAACATCATATATACGGTGCCCTTAATTAATGTTAGGTAGGTTTAGGTACCCAATTAGTACTCTTACGTACGTAGCGGTCAAACAACATGCATGAAAGTAAAGCACATGTAGTGATTGATTCCCTCGGCCTCTTCCTTGTTGGTAGTCGCGAGCGCGCAAATATATTGGAAGCTAAGCACAATGATGGATACAGACATGGAGTGAACATTATATCCCTCGAGTTGAGTTGAGCTGAGTTGAGTTGAGACTCACGAGAGACTTGCTAGCTTTTACGTACCTAGCTCCATGTGCACGAGAGGCATATATGCATATCCAATATCCTGCCTGCATAGTTCCTGACCGACCGAGACAAAGAGGAACCGTGTTTAAAAAGAAAGGAAGAGGAAGATGACAACTTGGCATCTATCTCGTGCAGAGTAAGGACGTTTAGGCGTTTAGCAAGCAGGAGAGCTAATAATATAGTCCACTGTTGTATGTACACGTACTTACAACGCACATATCGGTCTACTTATATAATAGTTGGCTTACCTATGATCTACTCCCTCTGACTTTTTTAATATCGTTTTCACTTCCTGAAAAGTTAAACATACTCTATTTTGATCAAATATAAATAAGAAAATATTAATATTTATAATATAATAGGATAGATCGTTGAATCTATTTTAAAAATAAATCTATTTGGAGATACAAATGTTGCTAATATTTTCTACAAATCATAATATATAAAACTTAAGAAAGTCTGAATATAGTCGCGACGCTTTTAAAAAATGATGTAGACAGTATTTGGCTCCGTTCGCTTCGCTGAAAAAAAAAGCTGAAACACTGTTCCGGCTAAAAAAACATGCTGAAAAGTATGAATTATAAGACAAGCGAACAAGACGTTTGTTTGTCTCATAAAACTTTTTGATTCTTGTGCATGAGCTATATCATTCTTTTCTTTTCTCCATCTCTCATCTATCTCAGCATAGAACTTTATTTAGAACTCTTTGCTATACTAGCTCTTAGTACATGCTACGCTGATTCAAGTAGTCCAAATTATCACAAGTATAATAGTGACGCGACAATCACATTCAGTCATTCACACAATCGATGCGTTCCTCTACGCACTTGTAAGCTTCTAATATGAGTCCACGACTACCTAACACCGGGGCCAAAAGGGCCAGCATATACTATCGCACGCCTATCGCTGGTAGCGCCCTACAGACAGAGCTTGTTTGGCATAGCTTTATGAACTGTTGTGAGCTATTTTATTTGTCAAACACTTATTTCTAAAATAGCATCACCTATGAAGTTGTTTTTCCCTCCTCTCACAAAGACATAGGTTGGGATGAAGGCTAAAAAAAGTAGCTTATCCTAGTTCTCTCTCTCGTTTTTCTTCCATCCATGTATGAAGTTGTTGGTGAAGCTATTTTGCCAAACAGTTTTTCAAAACAGCTCAACTTCACTTAGAAAGTTACTAATGAAGCTGTTTTCCAAAAATACAGTTTTACTAGTGAAGTTGAACCGTGCCAAACGGCCCATAAAGCTGCTTGTTATTAGTGTCAGATTGATTAAAGAAGTTAGCATGCATGCAGTTTGATGGTGCCTTTGCCTAATTGCTGGCTGCCCTACTACTCCCTCCTTGATATGATAGACAGATAGACGTACCAGATGATATTGGTACCCTTTTCAAATGCTGCTACATGCATGTACACATCTCCATATCTCCTTTGATATGCATGCATGCATGCTGCTCAGTCAAATAAACTGTGGCGCCGGCCGGCCACCGGAAGACAGGGAGCCGCCATGCCATCGGCCATGGCCTTCATAATCCTGCGTGCGTTCATAGACGACGGGAGTACAGAAGAATCTGGCTTTGGCTTTGTTTAAACTCTACCTCCTGCTGATGACAGGAAGAAGTATACTCCGTACGTACTACGTACGCCGGTGGATGGCTGGTCCTGGACCCAGTGTCCGGGTCAACGCTGACTGACTGACTGACTGACTAACGAGGGAGGCATGCATGCACGCCAGCTAATATGATTGACCGAGTAAACTCGACTCCGGCCAGAGACGCACGGCCGACAGTGGCAGTGGCTTGCTATACCGGCAGGCTTTGCCTGCGAGCTTGGCGAAGCTGGGAGCCTGGGACTGGCACCTGTCGGCATCTGGAGGGCATCTGGAGGGCCGACAGGACCTACCAGCCATCGGCACCCGATTACAAATTGCTTGGAGAGGTGGTGCAATTCCCTAGTACAGCAGCAATAGGCCGGTAGCTCATCCGGCCGGTTCTGCGGAGATTGGGGACGAGGCGGTGGGCGTGCAGATCGACGCGACGGCGAGGGACGGCGAGGCCAACGCCGCGCTTGTCGACTTTATCAGCTCGGTGAGTCGTTCATTCATCGCAGTTACAAAAACATTTGATCAATACGGATTGACTTGGATTTGCGTAGTGTCTAGGCTACAGTACATCTTGAATACTGGCTAACCTGGTTTCATAAACTTTGGACGGAAGCTAATAAAAATTACCCAGTGCTGACGAATAAACCAACTTGCCTAAAGCGCTGGGAATAGCAACCGAAACAGTTCAGATCTAACCCCCAGGGCTAACATAAAGCTTAAGAAGCCTGATTTGAAAAAATTTCAAACGGAAAGCTGGGGCACAAAAATGTGCGTTGACTGATTTCCTGATGCTATTCATTGGCAGGAACCAGTCTGTCTAGAGCACCAATGTAACTTAGGTACTTGATTTTGCATTAGTTATAGCATGGATGTATATGACTTGAACAGTGCTTGATTTTAAAGCACAGGAAACTCCAGTTTGCTCCACTGCCACCAACACAGTTTGCTCCACTGCCACCAACGGAATGTTGAATTGCTCTTTGAGCTTATTAAGCATGTTGAGAAGGCAAATTTATCTAGCAAAGCTTTGCGTGCGAGCATGGCGAAGCTGGGAGCCTGGGATTGCCACCTGTCAGCATCTGGAGGGCCTATAGGACCTACACCCTCCTGTCGGCATCTGGAGGGCCGACAGGACCTACCAGCCATCAGCCCCCGATTACAAATTGCTTGGAGAGGTGGTGCAATTCCCTAGTACAGTAGCAGCAGCAGTAGGCCAGTAGCTCGTCCGGCCGATTGCTGCATCCTTTTGCTTGCGCTGTGAGGCCGTGACCTGTGACCGTGAGCTCTCCAGTCCAGCTCTCGCTCGTCGTCGTTTTGGCGTTTTTGCAGCAACCTCGCAGGACGAAGACGAGAAGGAAGGGCAGGAAGCAATGCTTCGCATTGCACTGGAGTTAATAAAATGCATGCATGGGTCATGGGGGGTGCGGCCTTCATTGGATTAGACAGGATGTTGCATGTAAAGTACTCCTGCTCTTGCACCGCATTGCATTCATCTCTCTCTAGTCAAGATCCGAAATATCTTGTCTCCCGACCGACACTAACGCATGACACCGAGTGAAGTAACCCCATTAATTCATATTTATTCATTCAAAACCGTTTAAGACATAAGTACACTGTACATCCTCCTTCGTCTCAAGATAAACGCACGTCTCACCTCACCGTATAGTCTATTTTAAACAATTCAAGCTATTATAGCTCCAGCTACTGTAGTTTATAAAAGAATTAAGCTGATGCAAACATGGTCATACTCAATTTGAGGGATAATGCAAGTTTTAAGTTAAAGCCCGCGTGTTTGGTTTCCTACCATCGCGCGCCACGCCACACTTTATGGCCGCCACAGCTCCCGAGGGTGATGTTTGGTTGGTGATTTATCTTCGGCGGCCATAGCTTTTCACAGACTAGGATTCTGCCACAGCAATGGCGTCCAATAACCCCGCCACAGAAGTGTGGCGCCGCCACAGCTGGTGTGGCCGAGTGTGGCTATAATCCAAACACCCCCCATGACTCCTTTTTTTTAGCAATATATATACTCCCCAATTACAAATGGATGGAATGCAGCTCTAGACGTGGAAATAAGTCAAATTTTCTCACATACTCCCTCCGTCCTAAAGAAAAGTGTCTCTATGGGATTTTTGTAGCTGTTAAAGTGTTGCAGTGGCAGCCTGTAAAGAGTATTTCAGTGGAATGTTAGTTTTTGATCTACTAACATGCCCTTTTTCCAGTTGTATTGGTTTTCCTATATCAATGTTAGTAGGGGATTTTGAAGGAAGAAGACGTAAGGTATCCTAATGCACTATCAGTATAATGTTGTGTAATGTTAGTGTTGTTTTCTGTTCTTTCTCTGAACTAGATTAGTTGGCGTTTTTCAGTTGGAGTGCTAACATGACTTCTACTTTCTGAATATAGACTCATTTATTTTGCTTTTCTGTGTCTTAGTTTGATGGTCATACTCTGATTGGGCTTGCTTATGAATGCCAGGCATCCTGCACCATTGGCTTGTTCTGCAAAGGTAGAAAGGGACGGGTGCTTCCCTTAAAGTTGACTGGTTCTAGAATCTGGGTGGCACCTAAACAGAAGAAGTGGTGAAAATACAAAGGTGACACGTGCAGTGGCAGCGAAGTGGTGTTGTTCATTTAGGAATTAATTATTTGAAGTATAGCATGATTGACACTTTCGTGTGTTTTCTGTTATTCTTATGCACCAAATTCAAAAAAACTGCACCAAACTCAATTGTCTTTCATCATAAGAAATATGAACCACCATATTGTCATCTTTTAAGAGGAAGAAATTGAGCTGGTCTAATTTGAATCTGACCAGAAACTGTTTCTTTGATCTGAGTTTAGGTACCGTGGTTGATTCAAAGATTTGCCATCCTACTGAGTTTGATTTCTACCTGTGTAGCCATGCTGGCATTCAGGTTGATTCCTCATCCTCCTTTTCAATTCATTGCTTGATGGATGGGCTGATTTAATGATTACTGATTGAAGTTTTTCATCTATTCAGGGAACAAGCCGCCCTGCTCGTTATCATGTCCTGTGGGATGAGAACAAGTTTACGGCTGATGAGCTGCAGACTCTGACAAACAACCTGTGCTACACATAATTATATACTGCTCCATCGATCCATTACTTTCTGCGCACTCTTGAACTGCTGCCTATTAAACATTGTTTCAACTTTTGCAGATATGCTAGGTGCACCCGCTCTGTGTCAATTGGTAAGCTTTGAAAACATCAGTCTCTTTGTCTAACTCTAGGCCACCCATTTGTGGATTACTCTGTCCAAATCACTTGTTGACCGTTGCTTGATTTCTTGCAGTGCCTCCTGCATACTATGCTCATCTGGCAGCCTTCCGAGCTCGCTTCTACATGGAACCAGATACCTATGACAGCGGGTCAATGGCAAGTGGCGCCCGTGGGCCTCCACCAGGTGGGGCACGCAGCAGTAGGGCTGCGGGAAGTGTTGCTGTTAGGCCCCTGCCCGCTCTTAAGGAGAACGTGAAGCGTGTCATGTTTTACTGCTGAGATGCTGAGCAGTGAGCAGCTTCCACCAAGGAGTATTCCATGTACCCGCGCTATTTCGATGGTCGGTGAATAGTATTTTTTTGATTCAGTTTATTTCTTTATGAGGTCATCGGAAAATATACTAAACAGCTTTTGTATGCACAGGAATATTTGCATCACAATGGAATCATACATAGGGAAATAAAGAGTTGGAGAAGTATTTCCTTACCTTTTATAGCCTCTCCATCAAAGGATCTGAGATCAAAACCTCCTCCTTAGTAGAGCAATTTTTAGGAGGAGCTTAAGGCCTCCCAACCTTTTTTTATGTAGAAGAGTGTGTCCCGAGGTGGAAGAATGGGTGTCTGCTATTTATTCGTGCGCCATCAGTAGGGGCGGCTGGTGATTTAGCCGCCTTACAATGTAACAAATAGGGGCGGTGGTGGTGGCCGCCTCTACAAATGGGCACTGCAGGGGCGGCTGGTGATTGAGCCACCCCTGATTAGCCCCAATCTGTAGGGCGGCTTAGGTTACCAACCGCCCTACAAAGGCCATCTCAGAGAGGCGGCTGGGTCTTGGGCCCGAGGACGCCATCGTAGGGGCGCCCAACCTCGATCGCCCCAAGTAAAAATGTCCCTGCTCCTCTGTAAGAATCGACGAGTGTCGTTCAACGCCGACGACGACTTCTCAAAAAAAAACCCTGACTGACTAACGAGGGAGGCATGCAAGCACGCCAGCTAATATGATTGACCGAGTAAACTCGACTCCGGCTAGAGACGCACGGCCGGCAGCGGCAATGGCTTGCTATACCGGCAGGCTTTGCGTGCGAGCTCGGCGAAGCTGGGAGCCTGGGACTGGCCCATGTCGGCATCTGGAGGGCCGACATGACCTACCAGCCATCAGCACCCGGTTACAAATTGCTTGGAGAGGTGGTGCAATTCCCTAGTACAGTACAGTAGCAGCAGCAGTAGGCCAGTAGCTCATCCGGCCGGTTCTGCATAGATCGGGGACGAGGCGGTGGGCGTGCAGATCGACGCGCCGGCGAGGGATGGCGAGGCCAACGCCGCGCTTGTCGACTTTATCAGCTCGGTGCACTACGGGAGAGGCAAAATTCCCCGAGTGTCGGCTGGCTTTCCCGAGTGCCAAAAATCGGGCACTCGGGAAAGAGAATCTTCCCCGAGTTTTGCACTCGGAGAAGAATTGCACTCGGGAAAGAGAGGCTTTCCGAATGCCACGTAGATCCCGGCACTTTCGGTAAAGAACAAAGACTCGGCAAAGGCCCTCTTCCCGAAAGTGCAACAAATTGGAAAGATCGGCACTCGGCAAAGAAACATGTTACTTGACGGTCCACCCTTACCACGCCGTTAAAACTTTAAAAAAATCTTCCCCCAGTGCCTTCCCTAGCACTGGAAAGGACTCTTAGAAGTGCTAGAATAAGCACTAGGGGAGATAGCCTAACCCCGAGTGTCAGGGAAGGCACTCGGGGAAGAATTTTTGTTTTTTTTTGTTTTTTTTTTGCCTTACTTTTTTGTGAGGCCTTCCCACATTATTTAAAAACTCCCTGTTCAAATTTGGGACAATTTTACATACTTTAAATTTGAACAGCAGGTGCATGAAATAATGGAATTTGGTGATTCAAAAAATGATATTCATGATATTTGGTGTATGTTGAGGCCGTATTCAGGAACTCACATGAAATGTCGAGCATCTTATTGACGTAACATGACGAGGTACTTACGGGAAAAGTGTATTTAAATCATTTTGGGTCTAAAATTTTGGTTCGAACTTGTCATTTTTTAAAATTTCAAATTTGAAAGGTTCAAATTTTGTCAAATGACAAGATGACCAAAATAAAAGTTGTAGATCTTGATGAGTTGAACAACTTTTATATTCATCACTTTTACATCTGAAATCATTTAGGGTTTTAAAATTTGATTGAAACTTGTCAAATTTTAAATGTGTAAAACATCGTCACGTCCAAGTTTGATCAAACTTAAATGCTGAATCGTGATTTTAGAAATTTTTAGGAAAAAAAACCATCACATTTGGAGTTAGTATGAGGGAGAACAACTAGTTACAAAGTTTACCACAGATTAAAAAGAGAAATCACACTGTTTTAGATGATTCTTACATGATCACAGTGAACAGCGTGATTTCTTTTTTTAATCTGTGGGTCAACTTTGTAACTAGTTTTTCTTCCTCATACTAACTCCAAATCTGATGATTTTTTTCCTAAAATTTTCTAAAATCATTCTCTATCAATTTATTTTGTTGGTTTTGTCAATATATACATATGAAAAGTTTGAGCAATTTAAATTTTGAATTTTAAAAAAAAATGCAACTTCAAACAAGATTTTGGTACCCCAAATGATTTCAGCTGAAAAAGTGATAAATACCAAAGTTGAATAACTCATCAAGATCTAAAACTTTTGTATTGATTATTTCTTCATATGATAAAGTGGTAATGACATTGTTCACAAATGTGACACATCTCTCATATGGTTTTATAAACTATACGAGACATGTGTAAGATTAGTAAACAATGTGTGCTAAGAATTTATCAAATGAAGAAATGACCAAAATAAAAGTTGTAGATATTCATGAGTTGAACAACTTTTGTACTCGGCACTTTTTATGTTGAAATTAATTTGGGTCTTAAATTTTGGTTCGAACTTGTCGTTTTTCAAAATTTCAAATTTGAAAAGGTTTAAATTTTGTCAAATGACAAGATTACTAAAATAAAAGTTATAGATCTTGATGAGTTGAACAACTTTTGTATTCATCACTTTTTATGTTGAAATCATTTTGGGTCTCAAATTTTGGTTTGAACTTGTCATTTTTTAAAATTTCAAATTTGAAAGGTTCAAATTTTGTCAAATGACAAGATGACCAAAATAAAAGTTGTAGATCTTCATGATCTCTACAACTTTGATGTTTATCAAATTTTCATTTGAGATCATTTGGTGTCTCAAAATTATTTTAGTAGTTTTGATTTTATTTTTTAAAAATTTAAAAAAAATCACATTTTTAAAGGTTCAATTTTGCAATTTTAAACTATTGTAGTTGTTTTAGTTATTGTATATGTAAATATATGTATAAAAAAATAATTATAAAATTTGAATTCACATGATGCCTTATCTATTTACTCGACAATAGAAAAAAGTTAATAAAACCATTTCATATGAAAATTCCTAGTGGTTAACACACAATTTCATAGTGTTTTATTCATTTATGTCAGAATGTGTTTGAATACATGAGACTACTAAGCACTAAGAGTGTTTTATTCCTAGTGGTTAACACACAATTTCAGAATTAACTTCACCTTTTGCTTGTTGGTCATTACTGTTTAGGGCACTTGTTTTCTCACTTCTTCTCAGTACATTATGTGGAATTATTCGTCTCCCGAGCTGGAAATTCTAGTTAATTATTGATCGTGTACTGAGGACACTTCTCTGGACTTATTGTCCTTCGAAGCTGGAATTTCTTGTTAAATATTTGTACGTATTGCATTCGACCCTTTCTCGAATTTTCTCCACCCCAACTGAAATTTTCGGTTCACCGAGATGGATCCGGCGCTACCATTGCAGTTCAGACCGGTCAAAAAAATTCACACGAATTCGATCACAATGATAGAACCGCGCTTAATCCGCCCAATTTCCGCTTCCTCGCCCATCGCCACAGATACACCCTAAAACCCTAAAATCGCCTCCAAATTTACCCAATCTCCTCTGTCCCTTCCGGGCGGCGGCTCGACGACGCAGGGCGCCTCATGGCTCAAGGCTCGTCGGGCGGTCGGCCAGACCCTCCAAGCGTGGCTCCTCCTCCACTGCACTCCTCGTCTCCTGGCCGTCCCCGGACGTTGAGCGTTTACTGGACACCTGGGCGATCCACGGCGTCGTCTGACTAAAGGGCCTCTCCTTTAGTCCCGGTTTCTCGCGTCGGCACTAAAGGTGGTTGGTAATACCAACCAGGACTAAAGGGCCTCCTTTTGTTTCTATTTTCAATTGATGATTCGTTTTGGTTTTCGAATAGGTTTTCGAATACGCATTCTACGCTGCTAATAATATACGTACTCTACACGCTTATAATGTTCGAATATTTTGTACAAACTAAAGTATGAAACTAACGTATATATTACATGCATATACATATATTGTACGTTATTTTATGTACATATAATATGTATATATATATTACAAATAAAGCTTGCATTGTATATTCTATCATATCCTTGGGATCATAAATTCACTCCATCTGGTTTGACTTCCATGTTTTGTTCATGTCATTGTAGAACTCGCCGACGGGGTTTAAGACCTGGTCATTAAGAAATCATGTTATGGTCTCTTAAATTCCTTTCAGTTGGTCACGTCGAATAACTTTTTCCTTCAACCATAAAGTCTTCAATAAAAGTTAAAGGAAAAGTATTAATATATATATATATATATATGTATGTATGTATATATATGTGTGTGTTGGTCACGTGATTACTTATATATATGAACAATAAAAGAAATTGTGAATATATGAATATATTTATATAACGTACTTTGAGGATCCCTTCAGGAGTTCTTTTTGCGTACGCCTATCGCTGGTAGGCCCTGCAGACAGGGGTTGTTTGGCATAGCTTCACGAGCTGTTGTGAGCCGTTTTATTTGTCAAACACTTATTTCTAAAATAGCATCACCTATGATATCGTTACCCTTTTCAAATGCTGCTACATGCATGTACACATCTCCATATCTCCTTTGATATGCATGCATGCATGCTGCTCAGTCAAATAAACTGTGGCGCCGGCCGGCCACCGGAAGACAGGGAGCCGCCATGCCATCGGCCATGGCCTTCATAATCCTGCGTGCGTTCATCGACGACTGGAGTACAGAAGAAATAATGTGGCTTTGACTTTGTTTAAACTCTACCTCCTACTGATGACAGGAAGAAGTATACTCCGTACCTACTCCGTACGCCGGTGGATGGCTGGTCCTGGACCCAGTGTCCGGGTCCGTCAGGTCGAACGCTGACTGACT